CTTTTGCATCCAAAAGCGCCTGCGGGCCAGTTCCGCAGGTCGCCTGCGCGGTATAGCAACGCGCTGGAAATCTTGCGAGTGCGCAAGGTGGAATAAGCTTTCGGAACGCCGATGCATCATTCCGACTTTGGTTCCCGATTCGTCCACCGGGTATTTGTCTTGCTCCCATCTATACCTCTCCCGCTCTGGCTCCTATCTTCCCAACTCTGGCGCCCACATCTCCCACTCCTGCCCCTGAACTCCCGACTCCTGCCCATCCGGCTCCAGCTCCTATCTTTCTTGATCCCTGCCGATTCCTGATCGCAACGCCTTGGTTCCATCTTTCCAGTTCCTCTCATTCCGATTCTGGGGTGGTTGAGTCGGGGTGGCAGACTCCGGGGTGGTCAAGTCTGCGACCGTATCCGCGGGACGAGCGCTGCCCTGTCGGGGGCGGCACCCTTGCCCACCCTCACTCGGCAGGGTCGCGGAGTCCTCATCTGCACTGGGCAGCTCGTCAGCCTGCGAGCAGCAAGGAATCATCGTCGACGCCATCGAGTTTGGATGGTTTGTCGTAGTCGTCGGCGGAAGGATACTACGGATATCCGTCGCCGAATGAGGAGGAGGCGGAGGAGGAGGGCAGGAGGAGCAGGAGGGGCGCTAGAGGAACGTGTCTTCACGTCTCTGCATGCACGGCTACAAGGCGGCCTGGCTGGGCGCAGCCCGACGCCCCTCAGCAAACACCGTGCGGTTGAGCTGTCGCCCTCCGGCGAAGAAAAGGGGAGAAAAGGCCGAAACGACTTGTCCGGATGTTGAAATTGTTTGCCCGTTTGTTAGAACCCAATATCCTGTCACGGAAACGGATCGCGGTTATCATCTTGCTGAGACCGTCCCCCGCTGCCCTCCGTTCAGAATATGATATTCGGCAACGCTGCAAGACACCGTCAAGGCAATGAACGGCGAGCGGCGCTTCCTTCCGTCAACGCTTAACGCCCGTCGGCTGCTTCTTGGGCACGCTTTCGACCATAACAAGCAATACATAGAAAACCAGTACACATTACTGACCCACATAAGTACCGAAACGAAAATGTTCCAGTACTATGCTTGTGGTTACGGAAACCGTTCTCGATACAGAAACCGACGGCGGTGGATACAGGACAAATTAGCCCAGCAGGACCCAAACAACTCCGAGCAGTCTGAGCAATGCAAGACGAAAGCGAATGCAACGCATTGCTTGGCGTTGCTAGGACTCCATGCTTGGCATTGCTTTGGTCCGTTTGGCGTTCTTTGGCATTGCTTTGCGCTGCTTGGCATTGTGTGGCGATGCTCGGCGTTAATTTGCGTTGTTTTGTATTGCTTGGGGGTGCTTGGCAATGTTTGGTGTTGCTAGGCATTGCTTAGAACCTTTGGTTGGCATTGCTTTGCGTGTTTTGTTTGGACTTGCTTGGCGTCGACTTGGATTCATCTGCGTTGCGTGCCCCTGCTCAATCGACATATGATAGAACTGCTTGCAATAACATACTTTTCGCTTTTTGGCGCTGTGCAAGCAAGCCCGGGCAACCCCGACGAACGCCTCCGTTGGAAGACCCAGCGCGCACCGGTGTTTTTTTCCACAAAGACGTAGGAACTCGTAAGGCAGAGCTCAAGTAAAGAATGTTTGGGGATACCGAAAACGTTGTCTCCGACCCCGAAACCTTCGTTTCTATACCTGACCCAGTGTTACCACATCTTGCGCTGCCGAGAATGTCCAGACGAACTTGCAGAGATCATACCAGTCTGGGACGATCTGATGTTTCGCAGAGAAAGAACAAGCGTTCGGTTGCGTCTCGTTTCGTCTGTTTACTACAGCCGAAGGTAGGAAACATGCACGCATCGAAACAGGTGGCCATTCTTTACTAGAACCATCGCGCGTCTCGCGCGCGCTCGCGTTCTAGCTAGGTTAGTGGACGACTCGCGCTGCTTAGAACATGCTGCGGTTGAGGAAAGCACGTGAGCAACACTTCCCCCCTCGCAACTCAGAGTTGGCGCGGTTACGCTTCACCGCTCGGAAACTTGGAACATCCGAAACCAACATCGCGTTCAGGGGGGGTGGCAGTTCAGACCATCTGTTACGCGTGAGTGTTGCTGAATTTTTTCGCCACCTGTAGCCTCTGCGGGAGGGCAGGGAGGGCAGAAGAAGAGGGAGGGGGCAGGGAAGCGGGAGACGAGGGTTGGGGAACAAAAAGGGAAGGAGAGAAAACGGGACAGGCGGGGGAGCGAACAGCCCGCGGAGGTGGAGGGGGAAAGGAGGGCGGAGAGGAGACCAGAGAGGGGAGGGGAGGCAAGGCGGAGCGAGACGGGGGAGTGGGGGAAAGGGGGAAGAACGGGGCGGAGTGCGACGGAATTCGGAGGATTGGGAGGGCTCGGGGAGGAGTGCGAAGGGATGTGGAGGAGCGGGATGGACTGGGAAGGTGCGGACAGGCAGGGAAGAACGGGGAGGAGTGCGGAAGCGTAGGGACGAATGTGGAAGGCGGAATAGTGAGGAGGAGTGCGACGAAGTGCGGAGGAGGGCGGAAGGATGGGGAAGGGGGGTGTGGGGACCTCCCGGGAGCGTCTTGGGACGATAGGCTAGACTTTGCGGTTCGTGGTCCCCCCCTCGGGGCCGTCTTGGGGCCCTCTTGGGCCGTCTTGGGCGCCTCTTGGGCCGTCTGGGGGCCCTCTTGGGCCGTTTTGGGGGCCTCTTGGGAGCCTCTTGGGCCGTCTTGGGGCGGTCTTGGGGGCGTCTTGGGCCGTCGTCAACGCCGTGAAAGGCGAAACGCCGTATATGCTAAACATATACGTGTTCCTATGGAAAATCAATGATTTTGGCCTCTTGGGGCCCTCTAGGGACGCCGCTTGGGCGCTTCTTGGGGGCCTCTTGGGCCGTCTTGGGCTCTTCTGGGCCGGAAAAGAAGAGAAATCCGGAAACATGCAAACACCCTAGGGAAAACCCCCACAACGGCCATTAACACCCGTTCGTTCGCGGTACGCACCCCCCTGGAACCCCCCTTAAGGGGCTTCGCCCAACACACAAGCTGTGTCGGAACAACCGCCCCACCCACCCAGCACAGGCAAAGATGAACATCATTTTTGTCATCGCTGCTGAGTTGCGTCGCTGCTGGCCGCAACGCCTCCGCCTTTGGAAAAATGCAGGGCGGGCGGGAGGTTCTCGAGGAGAACGCCTGACACCTGGGCCACAATGGCAACGTACAAGACATGTGTCTGCTGCGTTCTACTGGCACTGGAAGCATATCATGAGTATCTGCGAATCCACCCACCCACCAGGGTTCCTCCAGCTTGTGCCACTCACATGTGCCATGCTCGACTCCACAAGCTGTGTCGGAACAACCGCCCCACCCACCCAGCACAGGCAAAGATGAACATCATTTTTGTCATCGCTGCTGAGTTGCGTCGCTGCTGGCCGCAACGCCTCCGCATTAACTCAACAGCGATACCGTGCTGGGCAGGGCTTACGAGCGGCCATCGAAAGACACCCACCGACCTTCGAGGCTGTGATGTGGAAGCCTCGGGAGGAACCTTCGGGCACTCAAGACGACGATGAACCCGTCGAGCCCGACGCTTCGGCACGCAACGCCTCGCGCTTCTCGCTGCGGAAGCACACGCCGCACAGCTCGGCGCCGCACGTCGGCAACGAAGCGCACTCCTCGAAGGCGGAACTTCCAAAAGACCAACCACACCACGCTCGCCACCATCGTGGCGCGACGCCCCGCGACCACACAGCCGGGCGATGCACAACGCCCGACTCCAGGTTGCGAACGAAGGTGTCTGAGACCATGGGCGCAGGCGGGGACACCTCCCTGGCTTTCGCAAGCTCCAGCTCTTCGCGCAAGTAGACCAACGTGCGCCTGTCCGCGACGGCGCCCTCCGTCAAAGTGTCCACCTGCGCGGCAAGCTCCTGGATGGTGTGGCCAAGGGGCGCCGCTGCGGCCCCGCGTCGCACGACGTCCGACAGACCTCTGAGAGGCGACTCCGCGACGTAGCGCAGAACGACGTCGGACGACCAACGGGCCATCAACTGGATGAGCGCTATGCTCACCCCCATTCCAGCCAGGTGTCTCGCACCCGTCACGCGCAGGCTGTGGCCTCCAAAGCGCCGAGCTCCAAGATCATCAAACAGCCGCTCCTCGCAACGTAGTGCCACGTACTCGATGGTCTTCACGACCGCTTCCTTCTCAACGCACCCCCCGGACAACGTAGGGAACACTGGCAACTCCTGCAAGTCGACGGTGCCGCCGAACTTCCTCTCTAAGACAGCCAGCTGGTCCAGAATGGCATGAAACGGGCATGCACGCAGACGGTCGCCACGGCAAATGCACTCCCATCTACGAACCTTCCCCAGACCCCGAACATCAGTCTTCGAGGTCGGCAACGTCCAGTCCACGAACTGCTTCCCGACGTCGACCGCCAGATGCTTGACCTTCGCGAAGCTGAGCTCGAGCTCCCGGAGCATCCAGAATGAGCCCGCCACTACCATGTTCGCCGCGCCCACGGGCCCTCCAGGGCAGACAGGATCCGGGGAGCAAGAAGCGGTAGCTCTCCATGCCACGTCAACGTCCAATGCGGCAGACTGCCGAGCTGGACCAATGCCTCTCGTCACTGACCGTTTCGTCTGTCGTTCTGCTCGCTCCAAGTGCTCCGTCCACGCGTAGCCGTGCTCCAGGTGCCAATCCTTGACGCGAGAAATGTAATTTCCAACAGACCGGTAGCCGCCGGCACGCAGCATGGCCCCCACCGCGTAAAGTTTGGCCACTGTGACCGGGAGCACGTCAATGTCCGAACCAAACCAGGCGGCATGGAAGAAGCACCACGTATGAAGCAGCGACTCCCTCGGAGCAGCTGCCGAGGCGGCCACTGTGGCCGACATGAGGTCGTTCAGCGCACTCGCTCGGGAGCCCTCCGACTCTGCCGCAGCGAGTGCCAGCGCCCTGTTACCGCGACTCGATGGCCGCAGCGTGGGCATGTCGTGCCGCGAGCTACCACTTGCATCAGTTGGCCGGCCTTGCGTCGCTGCCTCGACGCTCCGACCGCCGCCGCCGCGCCCCGGAGCAGGCCCAGGAAGCTGAACTGGCTGATCAAAAGGACGCCCGATGACCCCGGCAGCAGCTGCGGCCCGCGGCACCGTGGGCTCCGCGGCGGACCATCGCAAGCGCGGCGGGCCGCTCGGCGCCAGTTTGCGTTTCGGCATGCTGAGCGGGAACCAAAACGCTACGGACGCCACGCCGGGCCCCCTGGCGACGACCAGGCCGACCCGCCAAGCAGCTTCACGGGCCGGCGGCCCTCCCGCAGCGCCGGTTGCACTCGGCGCTCATGGGGGCAGTGGCCGATTCACAGAGAAGCTGGCCCAGAACGCGTCCTGGGACCAATCCTGCGGAGGCCGGCGCGCCTCCCGGAGGCCGTCCGCCCCGGACTCGGAAGATGCGAACTCCCAGAGTTTCGTATCCGGGACGCCCTCCGGAAGGCTCTCGGCGAGGGGCAACACCAGAGAGAAGTGCAAAATGTGGCACCAGAGAAACCCCCCCCTAAGGATCCTTAGGGGGGGGTTTTCCAAAACGCACTGGTCGCCAAGCAGCTTGACGACCTACCCCCGCGAAGCCCACGCCGGCACGCGGCCCAGCGACGCGGCGCGGCGCCAAGCAGCTTGACGCACCGGAGCCTTCCAGCAGAACGCGGACCGCCAAGCAGCTTGGCGGCCCGACGCCGTGAACAGCTGACCGACAGGATGCCCCGATGATGCGGCGCTGCGCCAAGCAGCTTGACGCGACAGAGCCCGCAGACCAGAACACCCCCCCACGGGGCGCCAAGCAGCTTGACACCCCGATTTTGAGAAGCCCGAGCCGCCAATTACTGACGACCCGACGTTGCGCTAAGCAGCTTAACGCGACTTATTTTCATGCTGATCCCCGCTCCACGCCTTTGCAACGCGGATCAGACACTACGATAATAGCCAGGCACCCGCGGCGGGATAACAGTCTCAGGCACGAGGACTAAAGCATGAGGGAGGGAGAAACGGATGCCTGGCTGAAAGCGGCGGCTCAGACGATCTGCCAACCCGTTCGCCACGCCTGGGATGTGCGCCACCACGTCTGGCCTGACGCAGGCGTCCGAGAGGGTAAGGGCCAGCTCCCTGGCAATCACGGCGACGTGAGGGCTGTGCGTCTTCATCCGCGCCAGCATGTAGAGCGCCGTGACACTGTCAGAACGCACTTCAAGCCTCGGGGAACACCCAAGCCAAGAGTTGGCCCACGCCCTCATCCCCAGCAGGATGCTGAGTGCCTCTGCGACCTGCTGGGACTCGGACCTGCCAAACTGCACCCCTGTGGCGATCTCGTCCTGCTCGCCGAACTCCGTCGCGAACCACGCGACGATCTTGTCCCCCTCCAGCAGCACGCCGCCGGCACCCCACGGCGAGGCGTCGAACACCATGCGAATCCTCACCTTAGAGACCTGCTGGAGATCCAAGTCGAACGTGCGGACCATATCGCCCTCGATGCCGTCCAGGAACGCTTTGATCCACTTGAACGACACCGCGCACTGCTTGGCCCAGACGCAGTGCTTGGGGACGCCCGCCGACGGGGCCGCGTAGATCGCCGACCACAGGAACTGAAGGAAGGGCCTCCAGAAGACCAACACCGATGCAAAGCTGCTTGCCTTACCCGCGAAGCTCTTGAGCCACTTCCTACTAATGACGTTCACCGCCAAGGCTTCCTCGACGAGCCCCCTCAACTCGTCGACGCGCTGCCTGGCGATCGTGACGTGCAACACCTTTGGCTGGACGTGGACGGTCAGCCCTATCCAATCGACGCGGGCCCCAAGAGACCCCTTCCGAAAGGACAGCGGAAAGCCCAATGCCCGGAACAAGAGGATCAAGACTGCAATGCGCTGCCTCCTCTGAGAGGTCGTGCCCCTCACCATCGACAGCGGGTCGTCCACGTACGTGTTGATGCGCACGTTGCACTCGCCCTTGTCCCAGAGAGCGGCCTGGACCAAGCGCACCGCCAGGGACGCAACGCCGGCCCATGCTAACGGCCCATTGCGCGACCCCTGCGCCGCGCGAAGGAAGACGAAGTACACGCCTCGCATCACCCCCACGAAGAAGCGCCGCTCCTCCCTAGCCAGAGGGATGTTCCAGAAGGCGTCGACGAAATCCAAAACCATGAATTCGATGGCCTCGTCAGCGGCAAGCGGCCGCTTGCTGATGGAGTCCCGGACGTCGTACATGACGTCGGTCACCCTCGGCAGGGGGACTCTGTGCACCCGCCGAGTGCTGAGCTTCACCCCCGACTGCTTCACGTCGAGGATCAATCTGCGCTTCAACTTGCCGAACCTCACCTTCGACACCACCCCGAAACGCGAGAGCACGGGGGGGCCGCCCAAGTAAGCCTCGCAGGCCTCAAAGGAGTCGAACCGTTTCAGGTAGCCCTTGCTGGTGTACTCAAGCAACTGCGCCATGACCTCGTCGTCCTCCTCCATTCCGGCGTAGTTCCGGAAATCGTCGATCGAGGCATCTAGGTCCTCGGGTGCCACGACGTCGCCGGACTCGGGATCGGCCAGAGGGAAGACGCCCGCCAACAACGGCTGCGCCAAGATGCTGGCGGGAGCGCCAGACGCAACCCACCTCGCCGCCTCGCGGCCCGGGTCGCCGGCGCGATCAGCCCAGGCGGCAAGGAGCGACGACCGAATCGGCGACGAGCAATCCTCGTTCTTCGTCGCTCCCACGTCCGTGACCTCGAATAGCTTCGCAATCAGCGCGCGCAACGTGTCCAACGTCGCCTCGCGCGGACCAGCGTCTGGGGCCTCGGAACCAAGCGCGTCCAGACACTCGTCGATCACCGACGGGTTCTCGTGCAAGTATTCGTCCAAGATTGCGCGCACGCGGCCGCCTGTGACGAGGTTGCCCGGCAGCGAGGCGACTGCCTTTGCCGCCCGGGCCATTCCGCCGAGACAGTCAGCGTCTTCCTGCTGCCGCACCTCCTTCGGATTGACCCGGGCACCCCGCAGCGCATTCTCGTAGGTCACGTCTCCGGGTTCGGGCGGCGCGTCACCGCGCAATGCCAGTAGAGCCGCGTCGCGCAACACCTGCTCGCGCTCCGTGCGCCCACGGCCGACGCACGCAGGCTCACGAGGTGCAGAAACGTCGCCCTGCCGCCTCCGCCGCGCAACCGCAGCTGCGACATGCTCCGCCACATACCTATTCAGGGGCGCCGGAAACGCAGCGAAGCTCTCAGTCGACCACGGTTCGCAATGATGCCGAGCCCCATGTCTGCAGCGTAGGCCCACCAGCTGCAAGTTGCCTACGAACGTAGTGGGCTTCCGGCACGGGCTGCCATACGCACACTGGTCCAAGGAAGTACCGAGAACGCCCTCGCGCTCCAGCAGCCGCGCCACCTCGGGCAAGTCGAACATGCGAGGTCCGTCGCCGCACGACTCCGGCTGTGCCCACAGCCACACGACGTCGCACTCCATGCAGGCATCGGCAACCACAGCGCACCGCAAGGCACACAGCGTACCCGCGCGGACCATCTCCTTATGGCGCCCACGAAGCCCGCGAACACCATAAATGTCAGGAGTTCCGCGCCCACGCAGCATGTGCGGCCCGCGCCCCCCATCGCTGCACGTCGCAGTCGGCGTGCGAAACGTGCTACTAGGCGGAGTCATGAACACCGCGGCGTACGTCTTGGACCTAACCTTGCCGAGGAAACCCTCGAACACGTACTCGTCGCACAAGTCCAGCTCCGCCGACGCCGTCAAGCCAACCGCGTCCACTTCGCCACCACATGCACGCACTGCCACGTCAAAACCTCCAGGCAACCCACATCGCCTGGAGAACAGGTGCAGCATCTTGAATTCAGCTACGACGGGCTCGTTGCCGACCAGGCCCTCGACACCCAGAGAGTTCTCAGCAGAGATCGCGGCATCAACGCCCGCACCCTGCTTCACGTGACTCTGAACGTCCGCTGCCGGTCCGCCGTCGGCCGCGCCGTCCAGCGATCAGTAATGCCAGCGGCTCTTGTGATACTTGCCCTTGCCCTGGTACCAACCACCCTTTCCCTTGCCCTTGCTATCCCCGCCCTTGGGGATCTTCTGGGCAGGGTAGTCCTGCCTCCGGCAAGCATGTTCCCCGTGCGTGGTTTCCAGGCACCGGCTGCACTGGTGCACCTCCGCGCTGTTCTTGGGGCACGCCGCGCTCGTCGGGGAGTGAGGGCACGAACCCTGGTTGAAGGCCTCGCACAGCTTTTTGCCCTTCCGGTTGGACCGGAACACGTTGCCGTCCACATCGTGCACCTTGGCAAACTTCTGGGGCGGTGCCGCGGGCGCGTCCACGCTGAGGAAGCGCTTGGGCGCGCTCGGCGCCGCCACGTCCCCGACTGGAGCCTGGCCCATCGCCCGGTTCAGGGTCAACAGAGCAGGCTCCTCCAGCTCAACCCGCCAGAAGTCCGCGTCCTTGAGGACCTCGCCCCAGACCCAGTTCCATGGCCTGATGGGGTCCATGGGATGGGCGCCGCCTGCGCCAAGTGCAGCTGCGCGCTCTTCTTCACCGCGTCGGCGCACACGCTCCATGTGCTCGCTCCTGCACCGCACCTCCGCCTGGTAGATCTGCAACCAGACAGTGGGCCCATAGCGCGTCACGTAGCGCTTCACCATGCCGGCGTAGAGGTCAAGGCGGCCCAAGTCGACGGCCTTCCAGGAGATCAGCGCCGTCCGCAGACACTGATACGACCGAGCCCAAAAGTCGAAGCTCGGCGGGCCGGCAACCTCGATAGGCACGAACGTGCCCTCAGAGGTGAATGTATGGCCGTGGAGCTTGAGCTTTCGAACCATGCGGTTCCCAAATGGGCCCCACACCGAGAAATCCACGTACGGGGCCATATCAACATCGAGCATCTTCTTGATCGCAGTGAGCTGCTCCGCCGTGAGCTCCTCCTCCGGAGGAGGGTGAATGCCGAAGATGACCTTGTAGTTGCTGTACGCCACCTTCAGCTCGTCGCCGTCGAGCACCCTCATGACGACATCGGAAGCCTGATTCGTCACCGTGTTGAGCGCAAAGGTGCCCAGGGCGGCACCTGGCGCCGCGGCCGCGCCCGTCTGCACTGGCGGCACCTGTGTCGACGGTGCCTGTGCCGGCAGCGCCTGTGGAGGCACCGCAGCCCCCCTCGCCACCACCGCCTTGGATCTTTGAGCCGGGGTTGCCGGGGCCTCCCCAACTCGCCATGCTGCCAGGGCCCTGTCCCAGTCCTCAGCCGACACGTTCGCGAGCACCCGCGGATGGTCGCTCTCCTGTAGCCCAAGGGCTGCCATGAGAGAAGCTGAGGCTACTCCGTCGAGCTGGGCCCACTCGAAGAGCAGCGCGACGGTGGTTACCTCGGCCATCTGCGCTGCAGACGGTTCGAGGTAGACAGGGGGGCAGCTCCTGACACTTGCGTTCTCGAGGAGAACGCCTGACACCTGGGCCACAATGGCAACGTACAAGACATGTGTCTGCTGCGTTCTACTGGCACTGGAAGCATATCATGAGTATCTGCGAATCCACCCACCCACCAGGGTTCCTCCAGCTTGTGCCACTCACATGTGCCATGTTCGACTCCACAACGTCATCGCTCGTACCTCGCTCTATCCGTTACCTGGCCCGGCACAGAAACGGAAAGAGCGCTTCAGAAACAGAAACCCCTGGGCCTTCTTGGGAGTCCCATCGGGGCCCTTTGCGGGCCCTTTTGGAGGCCTCTTGGGAAACTCTTGGGGGCCTCTTGGGGCTTCTTGGGGGGCTCTGGGGGCCTCCTGGGAGCGTCTTGGGGCGAAAGGCTAGACTTTTCGGTTCGTGGTCCCCCTCTTGGGGCTGTCTTGGGGCCCTCTTGGGCTGTCTTGGGCGCCTCTTGGGCCGTCTTGGGCCCGTCTTGGGCCGTTTTGGGGGCCTCTTGGGAGCCTCTTGGGCCGTCTTGGGGCGGTCTTGGGGGCCTCTTGGACCGTCATCAACGCCGTGAAAGCCGAACTGTCGTGTATGCTTAAAATGAACATTTTTTCCATCGGAAATCGATGATTTTGGACTCCTGGTGGCCTCTTGGGACGCCTCTTGGGGGCCTCTTGGGGCTTCTTGGGGGGCTCTTGGGGCCTCCTGGGAGCGTCTTGGGGCGATAGGCTAGACTTTTCGGTTCGTAGTCCCCGTCTTGGGCGCCTCTTGGGCCGTCTTGGGGCCCTCTTGGGCCGTTTTGGCGGCCTCTTGGGGGCCTCTTGGGCCGTCGTGGGGGCCTCTTGGGCCGTCGTCGACGCCGTAAAAGCCGAACAGCCGTATATGCAAACATGTACGTTTTCATCGGGAAAATCCCACCAACCCTTTAGGGCGTCGGTGGTTTAACGAGTTTCCTCTTCCACCCCTCCTTCTTCCCCTTCGGGGAGGGGTTTACCCCTCCCCCTACCCCCTCCCCACTGACCTGGACAGGGGGTTCCGCGGCGCGTTGGAGCGCCCAAGATCGACCCCTGGGAGGGCTAAAATTCGACACCCCTCACGAGGATCGTGGCTCCTGAGGGGGGGACTGTAATTAGGGAACCCCCCTTCGTTGATCGATCTCCTCCAAGATGGCTCCGAGGCCCCCCAAGAGGCCCCCAGGAGGCCCCCAAGAGACCCCCAAGAGGCCCCAAGAGACCCCCCAGAGGCACCCAAGAAGCGCCCAGGAGGCCCCAAGAAGCGCCCAGGAGGCCCCCAAAGGCCCCAAGATGGCCCCAAGAGGCCCCAAGAGGCCCCCAGGAGGCCCCAAAGAGGATCCCGAACGGCCCACAGAGGCCCCCCCGAGGCACCCAAGACGCCGAAAAGCCCCTCAGGACGACCCTCTACTCGCCTGGGCGTCGTTTCTGGACGGGCTGGTGGGGATACGCGAAGCGTCTAGAATTGACGATTTTGGCCTCTTGGGGTCCCTCTTGGGCGCCCATTGGGTCGTCTTGGGGCTGTCTTGGGCTCTTCTGGGACGGAACAAAAGAGAAATCAGAAAAACATGCAAAAACCCTAGGGGAAACCCCCACAACGGCCATTAACACCCGTTTGCTCCCCGTACGCCCCACCCCTGGACCCCCCCCCCCTTAAAGGGCTTCGCCCAACACACAACGTCATCGCTCGTACCTCGCTCTTTCCGTTACCTGGGCCCGGCACGGAAACGGAAAGAGCGCTTCAGAAACAGGAGCCGAAATTTCTCGCAACACCGTTCGTACTGGGAGCCTTAGCGTTGAGAGCTTGTTACGTCACCCCTCGCTCTTGGGAGCCTTGATGTTCAGAGATTGTTGCGTTGCCGCCCGTTCCTGAGCCTTGGCTGGGCCTTGGTGTCAGGAACTTGTTACTTCACCGCTCTCTGCTGGGAGCCTTGGTCTCATCAGCTTGTTTACGGCACCGTTCGCTCTTGGGAGCCTTGGTGTGAAGAGCTTTTTGCGATACCGATCGCTCTCTATTTGGCGTCTCTGGGCCTTCTTGGGAGTCCTATTGCGGCCCTTTGGAGCCCTTTTGGAGGCCTCTTGGGAACCTCTGGGGGCCTCTTGGGGCTTCTTGGGGGGCTCTTGGGGCCTCCTGGGAGCTTCTTGGGGCGAAAGGCTAGACTTTTTGGTTCGTGGTCCCCCTCTTGGGACCGTCTTGGGGCCCTCTTGGGCCGTCTTGGGCGCCTCTTGGGCCGTCTTGACGCCCTCTTGGGCCGTTTTGGGGGCCTCTTGGGAGCCTCTTGGGCCGTCTTGGGGCGGTCTTGGGGGCCTCTTGGACCGTCTTCAACGCCGTGAAAGCCGAACCGCCGTGTTTGCTTAAAATGTACATTTACCTAACAGCGTAGACTGATAGGTTTCTAGTTGACTCAAAAGAGCTCACAGATCACTCCACAGGGGGGTCCGGGCAGGCGTTGGGAGTTGCCGGCCGGGCCTGTGCCGGGCTCGTTTTTCACCAACAGTCACACACTTCGTGCTCGTCGACCTCTCAGAACCCCATTCCCAGGCCACATTCTGAATAACCGGATGCAACTGTAGGCCACTTCGTGCTCTTCGACTTCCCAGAACTCCATTCCCGGGCCACATTTTGGATGCCCGGAGCCAACTGTAGGCCACTTCGTGGTCTTCGAGTTCCCAGAACTCCATTCCTGGGCATGATTTTGAATGCCCGGAGCCAACTGTAGGCCACTTCGTGGTCTTCGAGTTCCCAGAACTCCATTCCTGGGCATGATTTTGAATGCCCGGAGCCAACTGTAGGCCACTTCGTGGTCTTCGAGTTCCCAGAACTCCATTCCTGGGCATGATTTTGAATGCCCGGAGCCAACTGTAGGCCACTTCGTGGTGTTCGAGTTCCCAGAACTCCATTCCTGGGCATGATTTTGAATGCCCGGAGCCAACTGTAGGCCATTTCGTGTTCTTCGAGTTCCCAGAACTCCATTCCCGGGCCACACTTTGAATGCTGAGGCAGGCTGATGCTGACGCTGAGGCAGGCTGAGGCTGAAGGCAGACTGAAGCTGAGGACGAGGCTGAAGGCAGACTGAGGCTGAGGCTGAAGCAGGCTGAGGCTGAGGCTGAGGCAGGCTGAGGCTGAGGCTGAGGCAGGCTGATGCTGAGGCAGGCTGAGGCTGAGGCTGAGGCTGATGCAGGCTGAGGCTGAGGCAGGCTGAGGCTGAGGCCGAGGCTGAAGGCAGACTGAGGCTGAGGCTGAAGCAGGCTGAGGCTGAGGCTGAGGCAGGCTGAGGCTGAGGCTGAGGCAGGCTGATGCTGAGGCAGGCTGAGGCTGAGGCTGAGGCTGATGCAGGCTGAGGCTGAGGCAGGCTGAGGCTGAGGCCGAGGCTGAAGGCAGACTGAGGCTGAGGCTGAAGCAGGCTGAGGCTGAGGCTGAGGCAGGCTGAGGCTGAGGCTGAGGCAGGCTGATGCTGAGGCAGGCTGAGGCTGAGGCTGAGGCTGATGCAGGCTGAGGCTGAGGCAGGCTGAGGCTGAGGCCGAGGCTGAAGGCAGACTGAGGCTGAGGCTGAAGCAGGCTGAGGCTGAGGCTGAGGCAGGCTGAGGCTGAGGCTGAGGCAGGCTGATGCTGAGGCAGGCTGAGGCTGAGGCTGAGGCTGATGCAGGCTGAGGCTGAGGCAGGCTGAGGCTGAGGCCGAGGCCGACGGCAGACTGAGGCTGAGGCTGAAGCAGGCTGAGGCTGAGGCAGAGGCAGGCTGAGGCTGAGGCTGAGGCAGGCTGATGCTGAGGCAGGCTGAGGCTGAGGCTGAGGCTGATGCAGGGTGAGGCTGAGGCAGGCTGAGGCCGAGGCTGAAGGCAGACTGATGTTGAGGCTGAAGCAGGCTGAGGGCGAGGCTGAGGCAGGCTGAGGCTGATGCAGGCTGAGGGTGAGGCTGAGGCAGGCTGAGGCCGAGGCTGAAGGCAGACTGATGTTGAGGCTGAAGCAGGCTGAGGGCGAGGCTGAGGCAGGCTGAGGCTGAGGCAGGCTGAGGCTGAGGCTGAGGCTGAGGCTGAGGCTGACTGCTGCTGTGCCACTGCGACTGCCATCGCGAATGCGACCACGACTGCAAGAACAGCAGAATTTTACAACAGGGTTCTTATCTGAATCTTAAGAGGAATGCTTCCAGATATGCTCCTACACATCGCTGTTAGGTTGCTTTGCCGGGATAATCTTTTTACCTAACAGCGTAGACTGATAGGTTTCTAATTGACTCAAAAGAGCTGACAGATCACTCCACAGGGGGGTCCGGGCAGGCGTTGGGAGTTGCCGGCCGGCAGGGTGCCGGGCCTGTGCCGGGCTCGTTTTTCACCAACAATCACACACTTCGTGCTCGTCGACCTCTCAGAACCCCATTCCCAGGCCACATTCTGAATAACCGGATGCAACAATCACACACTTGGTGCTCCTTGACCTCCCAGAACGCCATTCCCGGGCCACATTCGGAATAGCCGGACGCAACAGTCATACAATTCCTCGTACTTGACACCCCAGAACTCCATTCCCGGGCCACATTCTGATTAACGGGATGCAACAGTCACACATTTCGAGCTCTTTGGCATCCCAGAACCCCATTCCCAGGCCACATTCGGAATAACAGGATGCAAGAGTCACACACTTCGTGCTCCGAGACCTCCCAGAACGCCATTCCCAGGCTACATTTGGAAAAATCGCACACAACAGGTATACACGCCGGGCTATCTGGCTGTCTGGAACGGCAATCCCGGGATACATTCAGAGTAATTTTGAATGCCCGGAGCCAACTGTAGGCCATTTCGTGTTCTTCGAATTCCCAGAACTCCATTCCCGGGCCACACTTTGAATGCTGAGGCAGGCTGATGCTGAGGCTGAGGCAGGCTGAGGCTGAAGGCAGACTGAAGCTGAGGCTGAGGCTGAAGGCAGACTGAGGCTGAGGCTGAAGCAGGCTGAGGCTGAGGCTGAGGCAGGCTGAGGCTGAGGCTGAGGCAGGCTGATGCTGAGGCAGGCTGAGGCTGAGGCTGAGGCTGAGGCT